TGACAGAATTTCCATGCCCAGAGCAAAGTCCCATCCCAGTGTAATACATATAATGAGACTTCGGGTATAACGACACTTCACGAATAAGGACACCTTTTTGATGCCCTGCCGAGTGTCGTTATAAGCGAAGTTGACTGTATTGAGTGTCGGTTCCTGTACTGGTCCATGCACCGAGCAGAATAATAAGTGATCCAGTGTTCATTATATAATTCCTTTGTTTGTTGAGGGAATGGAAAGGGGCCAGTCCGACGAAAAAAAAATCAGGGCTGCAACGGGTAGGGGTTTGGTCGGGTATTTTTGTCAAGTCGACGGAATAGCGCGAGCTCCAGTGTGGGGAGCAAACCCTTTCGTAATAATTATCGCCAAAGTCGCAACCATTATTTCTAGGGCTCAAACGGTTAGTCCGATTAACTGGTTGCAGACCGGTTACGAAGAATTAACGGTTAACCGATAAAGATAACGGCTACGCAGTAACTTTTCAGTCAATTTTTCATGTATCAGGTCGTTGCAAAGTATGCACTTTCGCAGCCTGTCGCACGCGTACGCAATTTCTGGGCTCTCAACTCGGTCATATCTGGTCTCTTCGTGTGAGAGTATGTATGAATGAGCATGCAAGAGAATGTACATGTGTGCGTTGGACTGAATAGGGTACATTTTTTGAATGAGTATAGTCAAATAAACGGTTAAAAAAGAGTCCGCAGGATTGCCATGGCTTATAGGTTATAACCGTTAAACCGACCGTTAGCTTAGCAGTTAACCGTTCGGGGTAAAACCGTGACCGTTTGAGCCCTAATTATTTCGTACTACTATTATAGGTATTCAATAGAAACAGTTGCAAAATCCTTTAGATGAGCATGTCACAACAAAGCGTTCTGACATGCACATCCTCAAAAATAGTCATGATCGGCTCCTCATCAAATGTCAAAATAAGCAATGATGAATGGCTGAAAGACGACATTCACGAGCTAGGTAACGTGTCACAGAGCTCAGAAATGTATAAATTCAGGGGTATAGTACCAATCAATCTGCCAGAACTGCGGTAGAAAGATGTGGGATAGGCCAAAAATTGACCAAAAGAGTCTATCCAATTCCAGCATACCTGCCTGCACATCATCACATCAAGAGCCATTTGGCTCGTAGGTGACCTCTTTTTGGCCTCCTTGATGATTACTGATCCTCTTCTTCAATCTTCTTCACTTCCTCTTTGACTTTTCCGTCACTTCCCTCAAGTTCCCAGCTCTTCCTGGTTGTATGTCAATGGTGTTGTGAGGTGCAGCGCAGAAACGCGATGCTATCTGGTTTCAATGTTCAGCCGGATTCTACATTTATTCTCCAAGAGCGTGTTCAATCATGAGCATTATAGGTGAAGCCAAGTCGGAAACCCAGCCTTCCCTGGTGGCCCACTCTCCAAGGATAGGGCAATAAACGTACTATCAGATGTATGATGCATATGCAGGGCACAGTCATGTTGACTCCATCATACGTGACGATGATGCCACGCGGTTCAGTGCAGCACGGCCACGTCCGTACATTGCCTCGGGCTCAGGCCCGGCGTAGCGTTTCATATGTCTGCTACTGAAATGATCTTGGAAAACATGATCACAGGTTTAAGAGAATCACGTAGCCACCACAGGTCTTCGTATAAATAGGCCGTTGGACATTGACAACTGTGCAAAGCTTCAATAGCGGCCCGGGTGATGAATTCTGCCCATACTAATACAGGCCTGGTGATTTCCCATTTGCAAATGAATTTCTCAGACGTGAATGGAAGTCTTCTCACCACACATAGTGAAATACCAAGGCAAATATCACGCTTGGCCTGGTCGCTGATTACGATGGGATGTGGACTGGTACAGCTGACAGCATGCTGATTCGATCACAAATTGCAGAAATTACTCATTATTTTACAAACGAAATCCAGTCATCTATATCTCCCACTCAATGTCTGACGCCGAAAAAAGAGAGAGAGAGACTGAGAGTACGTAGAACTAGTGTTGACATCACTTTAGTACTTACTCAAGTCACATCAAAATCCTTATCAGCGGGCTCCAGGCTGTGGAACGCCTCCAGTGGGTCTGAATGTTCGACAACGTCAACCATTACTTCTTCAAAGAATCGTCATCTACTGTTTACTGAGTGGTGTGCGGCCAGTCGCCAAGTACTCGTACCAGTGCGAGTACTGATTACGATGATGCCGTTCACAAGGAAGTAGTAAAATACCTACTCCGCTCCCAGCTCACAATCGATCGATTTGGTTTCTTTTTTGTTGTTGCGCGATCGATCGATTTTGCGCGATCGATCGATCGTTGCGCGATCTGTCGATCGACAGATCGCGCAGCAAAATCGATCGATGTGGCAGATCCATAGATGGCGCACAACATCTACAGCCTGTAGAAATTCAACGCTGAGAATTTCCAACTATTGTCCGGCTTTGGTCCTCTGCCACCGACCTATCCTTTGAAGGAGAATGCTGAAACCAGTTGGTTGCTCTTCAGTAGTTCTTTCTCTATCGTACACATATTTTTGTATGTCGACACATGCTGTGTGCGACGACGTAGACACTTCTCAACACTTGAGTGACTTGAATTTGGCCATGATGACCGAATGTCATTGGACCGTGGAGTCGAGTAGAGGGCTCAGGCTCGATCGGCACAACGGGTACGTATAGCACAAGGGTAGAGCTAATGATATATCAAGTTGTTTGCTGTGCACAACCTTGGGGCGGAATTCGGCACGAAATTCTCTGCTCGCCAACTGTTGAGTATACCATGCAATACGTAGGTTTAAACTCATGTTGCAGTGCTATCACGGTTGCAACCCTCTTTCAAATGTTGACATAGCCAACAACCACATAATCCATATCAAATCTTGCCCCTTGTTTTCTTTCTAAGTGTGAAAAATAGAAATAATACCAGTCCTAATCATTGGAAAATGCAAATCACGGTCTATTATCGACACATCGTACTGTCGCGAACATGGAAATCCAGTCGATTGACCGGGGCCGGCGCCCTCAGCGCGTACAGAACGTTGCATGCAGTGCACATGTTGATCCAATGCGACCATCAGCAGCGCATGATAAACCGTGCTACGGCTGCATGGCCAGCGCCCTGGGGCCGCTATATGTGCGACCGGATTTCCATGTCCAGGACAGTAGTACCATGCAGCCTGGTAGTGCATTTGGAGCAGGTAAGTGAATGGTAGCACTGCGGTGGTGAACACATGAGCTGATGACAACCATCGTCGTCTTGTTGGTTTGTGTTGTCTCCAGTTCATTGCAGGTTGAACGAGGAATGAACGTCTACTCTTTCTTTCCAAAACTGGCTGGGCACACGCCAATGAGACGGAAGCTAGTGCCAAACCAGTCCTTGGAAGTTTTGTTGTGCTGCTGGACTTTCAATCATCATGTAAAGTATATTCCGGTTTCTGAGTCTTTGTGTGCGCCTGAAGAGCTACACTGTGTAGAGATGTTGGAAGTTTATCCTGCTCACGACACTGCACCAAGTACAAGCACTTCCTCGGCACTGCCTGAGCCCTGTTCTGTGTTTACTGTGACCAGGAGAAGCAACTAGAAATTTGGAGCTTGAGCTGGAACGCTGGTGCTCTCTCTCTCTCTCTCTCTCTCTCTCTCTCTCTCTCTCTCTCTCTCTCTCTCTCTCTCTCTCTCTCTCTCTCTCTCTCTCCCCGTCACGTTCGGCCACTGTCCGAAACCGGTGCATGTGCTAGCATGTCGAAGCGCATTGTGTCTGAGTCACACACTCACTCTCCTGCTCCTCCCTCATATGCCCAAGACAGTATGACCAACTGTGAATACAGTTCATGCCCACATGTGAACTTGTGTGGTTCTCTTGTACTAATAAGCTGCCACGTGTGTACTTGCACGTGTTGTGTACATGTGTGTGTGTGTGTGCGTGTGTGTGTGTCTATGGGACTGCGTTCTCCTATTCACTCTCCGGTGCCTTCGAGGCCCACGCAACCCTTGTGGCAGTGGCTCGACAGCACAGGGCAGGAGTGTGCACGCGTGCATGTGTATATGTGGGTGTGTGTGCGCGCGTGTGCATGCGCATGTGTGGGTGTGCGCGCGTGCATGCAGATGTGTGTGTGGGGGTGTGCGCACGCTGATGCTCAGCTCTCCAGAATTATGTCCGTGTGCGTAGCCAGTGTATGGTGGCAACATAGCCTTCCTTCATGTATGCACATACTATTTGGGATGCTTTACTGTTTTGGTGGGATCCAGTTACATAGTTTTCTGTTCAATTATTTATGTTTATACAGCTGCTGTATTTGTAGTGCAACTTTATGTCTTTCTGCTGGTCAATTCGTCGTCTTGATGGTGTTCTAATACTGATATAAATAGAAAATATTACCCTCAGAAAGTGTGCTCGTTGTGAAGTTGTCCTTCTTTGGGCTCAAACCATTGCTCGTGTATAGGTAGATACATATCAGTGGGTTCGATTGGTGGCGAGAGGTCAGCCTAAATTGTTTGGGGCGGAATTCGGCACGAAATCCACGCTGAGTGCTTTTTGACGACGAGTTGCGTCGGTCTTGAAAACTCTGGCGAGAAAGCGAGGAAAATGATGTCGCTTGGAGCTTTCCGCGAAACTTAGGGCAGCTAATGCCCGCACCTTCCCAAACATTGCCTCGGAACAAGACGATACCACCAGGGAAGCTCTTGTGAACAAGGGATACAATAGTCTCTTTTTGGCGATATTGAGCTGAGTTTCAAATTTACCGGGCCTGGGGTCGGATTTGGAAAATAAAAGTGCAACTTTTAGGGCTCTTTTTCGGTGCTGGCGCTTCGCCTGCAGAGATATGTTTTTTGCACGCTTGAGGATGGACTGCTAGCAAAATCGGGCTGTGCACTCAGCGTTCAGTACGCCCTGAGGGCGCCGGCCCCGGTCCGGCTGGATTTCCATGTCCACGACAAGAAGCGCGGGAAACTAGTTACTTCAGAACGCGAGGCATGCATGACCATGATGACCATGATGACCAATACCATGATGAACAATGATCGAGGGTCGAGGGAGGTTGTGAAAAGTTTGTCGTTTGTGCTGAGCTTCCTTTGCCTTTTAGCCATACACTTTGACGAAGACTTCATACAGATCGGATAGAGCAGCGCCTGGGCGGGAGTGGACGACATTCTCGAGGATGGCGTGTGAGCTGCGTTACGCTCACTCCGAGGGGCAGACATGGGTGGCCTACTCCGCTAGTGCCAAGTAAGATTACTGAGAAATTTTGCTCAGAGGGAACGATGAATTTTCATCAATTTTCAGGCATTCAGTGGGAGATGAGGACGTCGTATTTTCCACTAGCAGCAGCTACGAAATCTTACCAGAACTTCTGGGAAGTGCCCGATGCATTTCTTTAGTTTGAATCCGCCCACGGCTGCTTTCCAGTGAGCTACTTTCTCTTAAACATACACACAGGAATCGAATCGTTTCTTGCCAAGGAATCCATCGGGGGTCTGCGTTACGGTGACTCGGACTTGAGCTAAGAATTATGGTGCAGGGACGGCCTGCTTGCTTTATCAACAAGTTCTTCCTAAATGCTTGGCAGAATTCTCGCTGCCAGGGTCTTGCCAGATCTATATTCAAATGAGTTCGATTCATTTGGGAATCACAGCGCACTCGCAAGAATGTGAAAGGCACACGACACAGCATGGGTGTTGTATAGGCAATTGTTTAGTGTCACAAACCTCTCCTAACACGAGCCTAATGCATTCGTATGTATAAAAAAACACGGTTCGCGGTGCGATGCGGCTGGAGGCCGAGTTTTGCGCATCCGTAGGAACGCCGCCACCCTCTAAGTCGTATGTTAGACATCAGGAAATTAGAATTTACTGTACAACTACACCATAGCTTAGTGGTAGAGTATCACTGGCCATAAGCGAGGGTCCCTGGTTCGAGTCCTGGTGGTGACAGTCAATTTTCTCTTCAGACTTTTCCCGTTTGCATCTTTCTCTCGAACCAATGAACACGAAAAAAATACACGATACATTCCTAGCAGAATATCAGTAAAAAAATTACGAAAAAATCCTCATACACACCAGTCCTGAACACAGCGCGTGTGAAGTGCTAGTCAACACGACAGACCATGCATGGGTATTTTGCCAAGCTATTTGTGTGTGTGTGTGTGCGTGCGTGTGTGTGTTCGTGTGTGTCATCCTGCTTGCCGGTAGGTCGCTGGTCACGGCAGGTTGTGACGGCGATGTTCGGGTGTACGACGACTTTGAAGATAACGACCCGAAATCATTCCGTGCCGGAAAACAGGTGTTCGCGTTGGCAGTCAAGGTGAGTGCAGGACTTCAAATACAATGAAGTTAATAGCAGGGTCCCGCCAAAGGAAAGAGGGTAGCCCCCCTCCCCCCCCCCCCCCCCCCGTTTGATAGCGCGCAATCCTGTTCTCATTTTTTTTATAATTTTCAGTTCACACAACGAAAATACGGCCAAACATAGGTCGTTCCGGGTGCTCGCTGCGCCCGTACGTTGAATTTCGGGTCAAGGCAATAGTGGAACACGAAACAAAAATGGGTGAACTGTTTGTTTCCCCATGCCCTCCCCCGACTATATTTACCTGGCTAGAGCCCTGAATTTGAAATGTGCACTCATCACGGTTTGAGTTCTTGGATTCTTACGCTCCGACACTGAAAGTACCTTTGACCACTATCAACCGTGTACTAGTCAACACACACGTTACTTGACTGCTTAAGCATAGCACAGTGTCATCGTTTACAGTAGGGTTGCCTGCACATCGGTGGTGTGGTGACCATGTGCCAGAGCACATCTGTGGGGTGGTGACAATGCACCACTGGCAACCACATACAGTCAACTTCGCTTATAACGACGCTCGGCGGGGCATCAGAAAAGAGTCCTTATTCGCAAAGTGTCGTTATACCCAAAGTCTCATTATATGTGTCACAGTTGGATGGGACTTTGCTCTGGGCATGAAAATTATGTCGTTATTCGCGAATTGTCGTTTATATCCGCAGTCGTTATTAGCGAAGTTGACTGTAGGTGCCATTTCACCATTTTGACCACGTAGGACTGTAAAGCATGTAATTTTAGGTGCATTAAAATTTCGGTGCCAGGGACCTGCCAGGTTTCCGGTGTAATCTAGAATTAGGTGACCAGCGTTTCCTTCGCATACCGTGCACACCCTAGTGCCGTTTCGGTGTGATTTAAATTCAGGTGCCTGGTTTCTCTACCGAAATCACCGAAATTAAAGTTACACCGAAAATTTCATGTTTTACAGTATGTTTGATGGCCCCTTTGCTGGGGTGGTGACCGCACTACGCTAACTACACACGAACTACTAGTACGCGCCTGATTTATCAGAGTTCGCTTTGGTCAGAAAGGATGTACATGCACTGCAAGTCGACAAAGTTTCGGCCCAGTCAAATTCCGGCCTCCCAGGGTAAAACCCGTTTCGGCCGCTTCAAATTTTCGGCCTGTACTGCTACCGCCGGTATACCCTGTCGCACTGAACATTGAAACAGGAAATTTCGGCCGCAACAAATTTTCGGCCACGCATGACCAGGCCGAATATAGCCGAAAATAAATATGCGCCGAATATTTGTGGACTTTCAGTAGTTGGTGCTTTTCAGGCACTACTTCATACTCTATGTATTGATTGTTGTGTGTGTGTGTGTGTGTGTGTTTGTGTGTGTGTGTGTGTGTGTGTGTGTGTGTGTGTGTGTGTGTGTGTGTGTGTGTGTGTGTGTGTGTGTGTGTGGTTGCAGAAAGGATGCATTGCGACAGCATTGGAAACAAACTCTGTCCAACTTTACACCTTCCAGGTTAGACTCTGCGTGCGTGCATGTGTGTGTGTCTGTGTGTGTGTGCATGTGCGTGTGTGTGTGTGTGCATGTGTGTGTGTGCGCGTGTGTGTGTGTGTGTGTGTGTGCTTCACTGGGGGCAGGGGTAAATGCAGTTGGATCCCAGGACGGATACCCTGATACCGTCAATCCTTTCTCTGCACCTTGTGCTCACCTATTTACTGAGGTTTGGTGAGCCCAGAAGTAGGATGATTTCCAAGTCCAAGTCCACCCAGAGTTTCGGGTTTTCAGGGGGTGTTGGTCGTTGGGCGGTTCAATAGCCAATTGGGTCATCTTTCAAAGATTCCTTTTGAGTCTCTCTCCCCTCTCCCGAAGAGACCCACGTGACCAGTTTTGGCAGTGAGAAAGTACAAGGGTGTGTTTGTGTGTGTGTGTGTGTGTGTGTGTGTGTTTGTGTGTAAGGTCGTAATTGTAGCCCATAAGAGAATTGAACCCATCTGTGTGCGCATGTGTGTTTGCATTTGTGTGCATGTGTGTGTGTGCACGTGTGTGTGTGTGTGTGTGTGTGTGTGTGTGTGTGTGTGTGTGTGTGTGTGTGCATGTGTGTGCGTGCATAGGGCCATGCCGATGGCCTTGCGGCGCGTTTCGAGTCACCATGCTACACGCTAGCGTTTAGCACGTCAGGAGAGCAGCTGGCTGCAGGAGGCAGGTACGACTCTTCGCCGTTGATCTGTGTTTTCATGTCCGTATTTCATCCCTGTGGAAAGTACCGGATTTCCCCGGTTATAAGTCGCACTCGATTATAAGTCGCACCCCATTTTCAGGTTTGAGCAATGTTGTTTTGTATTGACTCTAGTTGTAAGTCAAGCTCGATTGTAAGTCGAGCTTTTTTTCCCACAAAAAATGTGCTCTGTTTCTGGAGTACCGTTTGGTTGGCATGAGGCTGCTCCATGTGCACCAGCTGTTCGATCCTGTTCTAGATCGTACCAACCAAACACACCTCTAGTGCTTGAGACTCGGCGTAAAAACACTTTTTTCATCCTCTTATTACTGTTTGAACTAGAATGTAGCTCTTCCTTTCGGTATTGAGCACTCTATAGGACAGCCTGCAACCTCTCTGTTTTGCACGGCATGTGGGCTGCTGAACAAGCATGTCATGCAGCGCTGCCAACCGCCCGTATTTGTCTGTATTTTGCGGACATCTAAAGCATTGTCCGCGGCGCGGATTTGGCCCGACGTATCCTGCGTATTGGACAGGATACACGATGTCATGTTCTAGCGCGGACCCTGAGCAATTTGGTGCGTGCTTGTGGCATTGAAGCCGAGACCTTTGGTCGGTGGATCCCCTGGCACCGCACCATCACTGCTGCCCAGTACAACCCCTACTCGGTATCTGTTTGTTTTTGTCCACATAATTATTTATTTTGTGAGTTGGGTTTGTGAATAATAGTAAAAAAATTGAGCTTGAATCCTGTCCACTGCACTGTAAAATGCAGTGCAGCTAAGCCCATATGATTGCTGCATCTGCGCCTTGATCCAAGAGGGTGGTGGCGTTCCTGCGGATGCGGAAAACTCGGCCTTTGGCCGCCTCTCACGCGAGCCGTGATTTTTTTTGAGTTTCAGTTGTGTCCCTTGTGGACCATCAAGTTGAATTTGCAGATCATCTAGACATTTCTTCTGCAGATCGCACTTGTTAGTGGCCAAGGTGCAGCACTGGGTGTGTGTTACCTTGATGCCGACTTTGGTAGTTCATCTTCTGCTGTGTGTGTGTGTGTGTGTGTGTGTGTGTATGCATGCATGCATGTGTGCATGTGTGCGCTTGCCTGTCTGTCTGTCTGTCTGTCTGTCTGTGTACACGTTTGTCTTTACCTTACCTTGCCGCTGGCAGTGACTTCACCATCAAGGTACCCACCGTCGCCTCGCCTAGCCAGACTAAGGTCCTACGCGGTCACGAGGCTCCGGTTAGCACCGTGGCTTTCGATGCCAAGGACGAATATCTCGCGTCAGCGTCCTGCGATGGCAGCGTGCGTGTGTGGAAGATAGCCGAGGAGAAGACCGTACATACTGCCATGGTTCTAGACAAGGGAAATGACATCGGGTAAGTGTTGTGTTTGGTACTGCCAATGCTAATGCGAATACTGTTCGTGCTATTGCTGCTGCTGCTGCTGTTGCTATTGTTGCTGTTGCTGCTGTTGCTATTTTTGCTGTTGTTGGTATTGCTGCTGCTGTTGTTGCGATTGCTGCTGCTGTTGTTGCTGTTGTTGCTATTGCTGCTGGTGCTGTTGGTGTTATTGCTAATGCTGCTATAGCGAATGCTATTGCTAAAGCCGGATTCATACTTCATTTCGCGTACGGGAAACGCGTCGCGAAAAAGTTTATCTGAGCTCAACTATTTCGCGGACGGGAAAGTCATCGCGCGATGACTTTCCCGCACGCGACATGAAGTGTGAATCGGCCTTTATGCTATTGCTATTGCTAATGTTGTTGCTGATGCTGATGCTATTGCTGATGCTTGCTAATGTTGTTGCTGATGCTGCTGCTATTGGTGATGCTGATAGCCAATGTGGCGTGTGTTATTTGTACATGTACACACTACACAGCGCCACTACTACTCAATTATTGAATGCTGGAGTGTCTGACTGTGCTCCCGCCTAGGAAGACTAGCTTCTGCAAACACTGCTGAACAGAAACCGATAATATACTGTATCATGCATAGGGGTGAAACGAAGTAGTCAAAGGTTCGAAGGACCTTCGTTTTCCTTTGAAACGAACCTTCGTTTTTGATTCGAACGAAGGTCGACACGGTCGACACGGGTTTAGTGCATGCATCAATGCATTGATCTTGTGCGATATGCTGCATGCACTAGCACTGTACATGCTGAACTACAAGTAGGGGCACGGTCCGCGTGCGCACCGGAACTGAAGAAGTGACAAGTCAAGTGAAGAACTGGCCCTGTTCCAGTCACCAGCGTGTTCCGTTTTGAGTTGGTGTGTAGATCTACCATGTACTATGGTGTACTCATGGATGACTTTTTTGATTGTATTCGTTGAGTGTTTGGCGCTCTGCGATACTAGTAGGAGAGTAGTTTTGCGATTTCGATCGTGTTTTCGCTCAGTTATGCTGCTTGTACCAGGAATATAGCTTGCCGTAGCTGCCGTCGATATCTGCTAGTGATGGTGTCTGGAGAACGTTGTAGCAGCGATACGAGTGTAGTCTCATAATTTGAATCGAAAATAAAAGTTTCCATCGCTGAAGCCATTGCAGTATTCACTCTCCCAGCAGCAGCGAGAGGGAGCGCAGCGATGGCCTGAAATCATCGAGGCAGGTGAAGTTCCTCACCCAGTGACTATTCACTCTCCTCTCAATCACCAATGCACCCGCTCGATTCGAGCAGATACTAGTAGGCGAAAAGTACATGTCCAGATTTGACAATTTTTTGATGAAGTTGGGCATCTGATATTTTACTATTATGGCTCTTTCCGTCCATTTTGGTATTGTTCAAGCACGCAACTGGCTGTACACTAGAGCAGTGATCTCTTGTCGCTTTGTGTCAAAAAGGCCAAGGCTAGCAAATCTGTACACGATCCCAAGTACACTGATCTAAATTGTCAGAAATATGGACAATTGACTCACAAACAGGTATTTGGTATGGCCTCTATCAAGAGTATGTTAAAACCTTGCCTCTATCTATAGTTGTGACCTGGGCCAAAGTATTTTCTTACCTGGAATGGATACATTGATACCAGCACACCACCAGATTCCGAAACAAATTGCACATACAATGTAAGTATTGGGTTCTGATTTTTGCCCCCTTTTATTTTTAAGATTTTTGAGCATTTCCGTGATCATGTTAAAAAAGAATCCTTCGACACCTTCGTTCGTTTTAATAAAGAAGGTTCGAATGGGAATTTGAGACCTTCGTTTCACCCCTAATCATGCAGTGAAAGCTGTCTAGGGCGACCGCTCGAGGAATCTTCAAAATGTGGTCGCTGTGTACAGGTGGTCTCCTTATCCAGGGTCATTTGACTGTAATTGGCATCCCTTGGTCGTCCTGGTTGCAGTGGTCTTCTGGGACAGGTGGTCGCCTTATCCAGGGTCATTTCACTGTAAATAGCATCCATCGGTCCTGGTTGTAGTGGTCCCCTGGGACAGGTGATCGCCTTTTCCGAATGGTCACCTGGTCACGTGTTGTTTCTCTTCTTTGCGCTGTTGCTGTCACCTCTACGCTGTACAAATCTTTTTTTTGTCATAATTATCTTCAGTGTTCACGGGATTGCACATTATACACTGTTGTTTCTGGCTTCTCTTCTTTGCCCAGTTGCTGTCACCTCCACACTGTATGAACCTTTTTTTTGTCATGTCTTCAGTGTTCACGGGGCTGCACATTTTTACAGTGTTCTTTCTGGCTATGTTTCTTGGCGCTGTTGCCATCACCTCTATACGTGTATGTAATTCATTTTGCTTGTTCGGTTTCTTTTTCCTTGTATTCCACCCGACGAGAAGGCGGTGGAAGTGCTAGTGGGGTTTTTTGGGAAAGTGTTGGTTTTTGATGAGCCTGCAACTCCAGCTCACACCGTAGCTCAGTGGCAGAGCATCGCTGGCCATAAGCGAGGGTCCCTGGTTCCAGTCCTGGTGGCGACGGTCGATTTCTTTCTTCCGAGGCTTTTCCCCCGTTTTCAACTCCCTCAACATTGTGAAGATTAGATGTGTTACGCTCTCATCGCCTGTGAACTGTTTTTTTGTGTTTTTTTTTTTTTGCCACTGCAGCGCGGTCGACTCTATATGCGGTCTTGCGTGGCAGCCCAAAACCAGTGAAGTAAGTGTAGCCGTGTAGTCGTTCTGCTCTGGAACCACAGTCCAACGATATGCAGTCAAACCTCTTTGGGACGAACGCCAAGGCACCGGTGCTATTTGTTCGCGATAACCGGAGTTCTTCTTATCCGTATGTTATACCCAGTGAATACAAAAAAGACCCCCCCCCCCCCCCCCCAGTTATTTATCCAATGCAGCTATGAATGCTAGTTCTTCTAAACAGGGGGCGTCGGAAGCTATTCAACATTGGTGCGGCTATGAAGAGCTACATGTACACCTGGCACTGGGGAATACTATAAGACATGTTATTATAACGAGTCGCAAATTTAACCATTGTCCAAAATTCATAGGTTAACGAGAAGATATGTTAACGATCTTGCAGTATTCTGCCATATCCACACATAGCATATATGAAGCAGTACGGCCTCAACGGATCTTATTATAACGAAGAAATGTCATCCGTTAAAACGTTAGATTTACTTCCTCGTCATATATACATGTCTTACAGTACCTCGCGATACAAGCTCAGCCAGTAGTTTATAGGCGCATTCTGAACGTGGAATTTCTCTTGCAGTGCTGATGTCCGGGACCGTGTAGGCCTACGTTTCCAGCTCTCGATTATCATGTGTCGTCTCCTGTTGTTTCCAATATCTTTTCTGAGATGTAGAACTGTTACCGTAAAACAACAACACGTTGCATGTTGTTGTGTATTGTTCTCTGGCAAGCATCAGCACTCTCTCTCTCTCTCTCTGTGCCTTATGTCTTGTAACTGTTATCTGTTTACTGTGTGTGTATGACTCCGGTGTCAGCTACTGGCCATTCCTGTAAAGAACACGGTGCAGGTAAGTTCATTGTGTGTGTGTGTAGGGGGGGGGGGGGGGGGCGTGTATGTGTATGTGTGTGTGGGGGGGGGGGGGGCATGTATGTGTGTGTGTGTGTGGGGGGGGGGGGGGGGGTAGCGTGTATGTATGCGTGGGGGGGGGGGGCATGCCCGCGTGTTTGTGCATCTGGTTGTGTGTGTGTGTGGGGGGGGGGGGGGGGGGGCATGCATGCGAGTGTGTGTTTGGTTGGGCGGGTGCTTGATTTCACATCTAAATCTGCTCAATGCGACCGGCAACATTCCTCCCCATAGAAGTACATCAGGTCGGGTTCGGGGTGGGGTATGTCCCTGCCCCAAATAATGAGCCCCCTAGCCTAGGCAGTTCTTATGTTCATGTGCTATACACGGTTGAGTCACTGTGTATACACTGACTGCAAGCAAGGGTCCATAACCCCAAGAATGTGCAACTCTATACATGGGGATCCGCGCGGCGGAATTCCAACATTACGTCAAAAATGACGTACGCACTCGTTGCGCTTGTACTGCTCCCTGGTTCCAGGCTCCGCGGAATGCGGAGTTTTGTACAGCTGTGCCTCAGCGGCATGACGTAATGTTGGAATTCCGCCGCGCAGTGGGCCTACAGCAGCCAGACCCCAGTTGCACACTCTTGGGGTTATGGACTCTTGCTGGTATGCTATGCTTACTGAAATTCTAGCGGGCTGGTCGTTCCTGGGTGGCCGACGGCACTGTACAGCGTAGGGTGATGCTTCGACAGCTCAAACAGCGCAACTTGCAGCCCCGCTCAGTGTTGCATGTACAGCAGTGCTAACAGGCTTGGCCTCAGCCGCCTGCTCCCGGGTGCTCACGGGGTGTTCTACGATACTACAGTCCACTCCACGTATAACAAACTCGCATAGCGCATTTCGTGACGTGGCGAACCGTTGTCCGTGTCCCTGTTTAAACGCATGCCCAGCTGACCCATTACTGTAAGACATGTTATTATAACGAGTCGCAAATTTAAGGAGGCTGGGGCGGTACAACCTTTTAGGGGTCATTTTGATTACATTTTGACTGCATTTTTGAGTTTATCGGCAAGGTGGAGATGAAATTTGAAAATGTTTTCTGGTGAATCTCTGGAGAAGAGCCTTCTCTAGCTTCCTATAGTTTTATTTTTACTTTTGGACAAAATTTGAAAAAGTTTTATGAAAGGTCTGTGAAAAAATAACACGAACCTTTCATAAAACGTTTTCAAATTTTGTCCAAAATTAAAAATAAAACTATAGGAAGCTAGAGAAAGCTATTCTCCAGAGATTCACCAGAAAACATTTTCAAATTTCATCTCTGCCTTGCCGATAAACTCCAAAATGCAGTCAAAAATTTCCCAAAAAAGTTGTACCGCCCCAGCCACCTTGTCCAAAATTCATAGGTTAACAAGAAGATATGTTAACGATCCAGTAGTATTCCGCCATATCCAAACACAACATATATGAAGCCATACGGCCTAAACGAATCTAATTATAACGAAGAAATGTCATCCGTTAAAACGTTAGATTTACTTCCTCGTTAAATATACATGTCTTACAGTATACCCAGTTTATAGCGAGGCATATCTTGTAGGGCTGCATGCAAGCCAAGTGCACTCATACTGTCATGGGCCACATGTCTGTCATGACTTGCTGCTTGTATGGTGTGAGTGCATTTCTGTTATAACGAACTTTGAGTACTCTAAATTCAGAAGTTTTCGGTGCTCAATATTTTCGGTATGAGGGCAAAAGGCCAGGTTAGGTGAACAGAAATTTTAGGTACAGAGAAGTAGTTCCCTATTGGATTATGTGTGTTAGTGTTTGTTCGGTGTATTGAAATTTTAGGTGTGAAACAGACGCACCGAAAGTACCGAAAATAAAAGTACACCAAAAATTTGTGAATTTACAGTATATTCTCCTGCACAATGGTGTTCGTTATATCAGGAGTCGACTGTATGTATATGGATGCGGATCCGACCCAGCGTCGTAGGCTTGAAAGTTCCGTTGTAGAAAGGGCTGGTCGTTTTTCTTTGCCCCTTGCATGTGTGTTCTGTTTCTTGTTCAATGGCTCTTACGGTGTGTGCTGTTTCTTGTTCAATGGCTCTTACGGTGTGTGCTGTGTTGTCGTTGGCCTGTGTGTTGCAGTTACTCCAACGCCTGTCCTGGCAGAAGCAGTTCACGCTGGAATGCAGTGGTGATGATAAGGTACGATGGTACTCCTGCTCTCTGTTCTCTTTGCTGGATCATACGTGTTGTTGCAAAAGAAGGATCCACAAGTGGGATTCGAACCCAGCACCCCTGTGTTCCCGGGACAGTGCCCCACCGATTACGCTTACGGCAAGAGTAGATAAACAAGAGTGTGCAACTCGCGGATGGGTTGGCCCACGGCGGAATTTTTTGTTGACGTTATCTTTTCGACGACGCACGCGCTGCGAGCCTTTTGGAGAGTTTTCCCTCGTGCACTTGGCTGGGCTTTACACTACAAGGTCGGTGCCCAGCACGTGCTCTCACACTGCTCTGCGGCAGAATCCGCGTTTCTCTGAAAAAAGGTGACGTAAACAAAAAATTCCGCCGTGATTGTGCAGGAGAGATCCGGAGTTGCACACTCTTGTTTATCTACTCTTGCTTACGGGGATCACACACCCGTGGCTCATTCTTGCTACACTGCTACACTGCCCCAATACGGCAATAGGCTGTGCCCTCACGCCGTACCTCCTAGCGCACGCGGGGGGGGGGGGGGGGGGGGTACGATGGGTCGTGGGTTCGAGCCATTCCCAGGCGCCAATGTTGCAAAAGAAGGATCCACGAGCGGGATTCGAACCCACCAACCCTGTCTTTCCGGGACAGTGCCCTAGCGACTAGGCTAATAGGGATCACACACACGCACACACACACGCAGCGACTAGGCTACACTGTCTTGGCGGTGGTCATGGTGATGGTGGCGGCGGCCCTCATTGCAGTGCTTGAATCTCGCTTGCTCCCGTGTTCTGTTGCGCGCCCGTGTGCGCACGTGTGTGGGCACGTGCACACATGCGTTACAGGTGGTCAACGTCGTCTGTTGGTCGGTTTGTGGCCGCTTTCTCGCCGCCGGCACTATCACGGGTGACATCTTCCTGTTCGATGTAAAGAAGAGAGTCGTTGTTGAGCAGTAAGTAATGTTGTTTTGGGAAGTGGCACATGCTGTGTGTGTGTGTGTGTGTGTGTCATGCTTCTTCTCTTTAGTAGAAAGCCCGCCCATGGAGGGCTGCCACTTTTTCCGACTTTTGGGAAACTTTGCTTATTGTCCGCTAACGGAAACTCTCCGGTTTTTACAAATCGTTCCGGCAAACCAACCAACAAGCTGCCTCTTCACCTTATTTGGATTGTTCACGAAAGTGCCCTTGTCTGATGTGTTGGGCGCTTGAAATCCAAAAAAAATGATCAGGCTTCTAAAGGGGACCCTGTTACCCTCCACACACACACACACACACACACACACACACACACACACACACACACACACACACACACACACACACACGCACGCACACACACATGGTGCAAGGCCCCTCGCCCTGGAACTTGGCGTTCATGGTTTGGAAGTCTTGCGATTGGTCGGCTCTGATGGCTTTCCCTCTACTCACCTCCCGAGTTTCCTCTGTGGAGTCGGTAGCATCTCCTTGATTTCATGTGGTGGTGGTACATGGTGTGTGTGTCCATTTCCATGTGTGTTTGTGCGTACACGTGTGTGTATGTGTCCATGTATATGTCTGTGTGTGTGTGTGTGTGTGTGTGTGTGTGTATGTATGTGTGTGTGTGTATGTGTGTGTGTGTGTGTCTGTGTGTGTGTGTGTGTGTGTGTGTGTGTGTGTGTGTGTGTGTGTGTGTGTGTGTGTGTGTGTGTGTGTGTGCATCTGCATGTCCATGTATGTGTGCATGTATGTTCGTCTAGTCTGGAGAATCCCAATGCTATTTGCTCTATGCAGTTTCAACCCAAAGGAGAAAGCCAGCTGATCTTTGCCGACTCTCAGGTAAGCCCCTTCAGTGCCATCACACATGTATTCCTTGGCTATACTACAGTCAGTTTCAAAAAGATTAGCAATCCTGGCGATCGCCCGGGGAGTTTGCCGTTTTACCGTATGCGCGCTCGAGAGCTGGCTGGAAAAACTCACTGTGAACTCGAAGAAATAATCCGCGCGAAAGCATGAAAAATGATAACTCACTCACGTCGGTACATGTACGTCTGGTTTACAACAAACGAGTTCTTCCTCGTATCGACATGGAGTCAGAGAGGACATGTCAAAAGTGTGGTAAATGTTGACGAGCGGGATGGGTCCCAATTCGTTTCGTGCCCAATTTCTTTGAGCTGCGATGTAATTTACTCTCACGATGTGACGAAAACGACATCGACACAGACTCATTCCCAAGGCCATGACTTGGCAAAGCTATCCTTGTGACGAAAACGACATTTTGAGAAAAGCAGACACCTGTGAAAGCTGATAGAAGACGGCGTTGACTCTTAATTCAAATAAATTGGCGATCTTGAAATACTGAAATACATGTAATTCTCAAGGAGAAATCGATCGATCGATGTGCCGTTGTATTCAACAACACGTAGCTGCAGCGCAATGACTTCCGTGTTCACTCACACCGTTTCAGTGTTGTGGGTGTGTTCACATGGCGCGAAGCAGTCAAGTGTCAGTAAGTTCGGCAGGAAACGCGAGCTCCAACAACAACAAGTCGTTTGGCGCAGCCACCTTCTTTGGCTTGTACCAAGAGTACATAACCCCCCAGAGTGTGCAACTCCACTATGGGTGCTGTCCCGACAGAATTTCAAGTTGACGTCATTTTGATGATGCAATGCGCACTGTACACGGATTATCAGACGAATCCGGAACCTGTGGTTGACCGAAGCTGATCGATCCTGTACAAATTATTGCAAAGAATAACGTGTGATGCGTTGACACCCGTTCACATGTTGTAAATCACTGGTGCAAGGAGCATTGCGTCATAAATAATGACGTCAACTTGAAATTCTGTCGGGACAGCAGGGTATGTGGGAGTTGCACACTCTGGGGGGTTATGTACTCTTGCTTGTACTTTTTGTACCAGCGTGATCACCAAAACTATGAAATAAAAGTTAGACTTGAAGATAGTTTGGGATTTGAACTCACAACTTCATGGCCAGCAGACAGCATTTATAACCACAAGGCCAAAAAGGAAAGGATAAATCGTGGGTTTTGATAAAAAATCGATACTGACATCCAGGGCAAATTGTAAACCATGGGAAAAGGCCGGAAACCTGGCCGAAATTCTGAATCCTTAACGGCTGGTCCAATTGGTCCGAAACCTTCACAGAACAATTTGCCGTGTCCTAACAAGCCATTCTATGTACTTTGTTGTCCAAATTTCCCTTATCTTCGTACTTTTTAAGACCAAAACCTGATTGCTAATCTTTTTGAAATGGACTATAGGACATTGCGCATCTGCTGCACACTGAGTGCGAAACGAGTGTTTGATTCGACTCGTCCTCGTTTCGTTGAAAGCACTTTTCGGGTTTTCCATCAATCGCCTCGTCGACAGCTCCAAATACACTACAAGATCACTTGTGGAGATGCACACACACGCATACACGCACGTACACACACACACACACACACCATTGGACCATTGGACGCCCATCGCCGGAGGCGATGATAGCGATGCTACAGCAGAAGCCATAGCAACTTGTGCTGGGATTGCACCATTCAACAGCTTGCACGGCTGAAGAATTGGCTGCCACTATTCAACCTGGTCTACACCACACAGCTATGAAGTGGTTTTTTCTGGCCAGTGAAACCCTACTTGTTGGTCTTTTTATTTTCAGCCCTCACCAACGCTGTACAAAGCGTCACTGGCCCTTTTGTCAACGGTCGCGCTAATCGACCAATCAGCGTACAGCTTATGTACCAAAATTCTCAAACTTACCGTAATTCCTTGGTTGATACGGTGTAGTTTCCAAAGATTTTTTATGGACCAACGTCTTCTTTCGATAGATACCAACAGATCGTCCGCTTCGAATTTTTCGATTTGATTGCCGTTTGGCCGAAAATTACCTCCAAAATCGACCTCCACTCGTTTCACTTCAAGGCTTTCCAGGTGGACGGCATCGAAATTCGTAAGCGGAGAAAGGATAGCCAGTGAAAAAAGAAAAACAACGACCTATTGGTTGTCAAAATCGACCAAGAAATGAATTCAATAGACCCGTTTCCGTGCTGCGCCCTCGCGGTCCGCGCGAGTGCGAAAGGGATTCTTTCTCGACAAAACAAACAACAACTACGCGCAGTGCATGCAGTAGCTTTTTGCAGTGCAGTACACTGACACCACTGCACTGGCTGTACATACAGTGTACCTTAGGAATATCCTGTTCCTTTCCAAGGCATGATTGTCGCTAGTGGGAGAACTCAGCCACCTGAAGCTTTCATAAAGGAAGAAGTAGTAGGTGAATGATTTCGCCAGAAAATGGAACGCCAAGAAAATAGATAAACACAGGGAAATGAGTGGGCGACATGATCTTTACTACTTTAGCTCGAAGCTCGCGCTAAGACACGCGAGGCGCGCACGTGCGCCTACGGCAAGCGCGGCCAGCCACCATGTTTTCAAAATGGAGGTCGACGCTTTTGAAATCCGTGTAGACGATGGTGAAGGCTGATTTTTATTTTTTTCCTGCACACACATCACACCACATACTCCGGCATGCACTGGCTGTTGGTAACCACCCAGGAGAATGAAAGAAAAGTCAGGAAGAGTCTGAGAAAGAGAAGAAAGACGTGTGTGACCATAATCGTCGGGAATCGAACCCGCAACCTATCAATTGGAATTCGCTGCACATACCATTGCACCATATGGCATATACACACACACACACACACACACACACACACACACACACACACACCTTGAACAGCTTGAACAGCTTGAACACACATCCCCAATCAGGATGATGGCGGTGTCAGACAGAGTAGAAGCGGGAATGTCTCTTCAAATCTCCAGGGCGGGAGAAGACACGACCACACATGCAGCAATATTCCTTCATCACCGTCCGCTGAGGTCTCTCTCTCTCACTCTCTCTCTCTCTCTCTCTCTCTCTCTCTCTCTCTCTCTCTCTCTCTCTATCACACACGCACGCACACGCAAGGCCACATCGAGAGAAAGCTGGATCCCTTGCCATCCGTTGAGTCCTCTCCAACGAATTAGAAAGTCGCGTGCTTGGCGGTTGACCAGACCCCACTTATCTACAATGGTATTGGAGAAAGTCTGGGGTGTTATTGACAAACAGACCTGGAATGGGCCTTGTAAGAACTGGCTGTAGACTATTGCTGTATAGGCGTATGTGCTTCAGACAATCTTCAACAGGTATTTTAGCACTACCTTACCGTATTTTCCGGAGTATTAGCCGCACTGGAGTATAAGCCCCCCCCCCCATATTTTGCCCCGAAATACAGACATCTACGCCATTTATCCCCGTTACTTTGATCATCGGAGTATAATCCGCCCCCTCCCCTTTTTTAGCGTGAAATTTGAGTGTTCAAAGTGCGGCTTGTACTCCGGAAAATACGGTAGTTGAACTTTGATTGCGTGTGCTGCGACGGCAGGGTGGTAGAGTCTGGCAGCGTTGGCACTGTCTGATTTATTAGTAACATTTCATGGTAGCCCTCCGTCAGGGGACTGCAGCAGTGTGTGTTCTGTACCTATACGCTATGTCCATGCTCGGAACACGGCTCTCCGTACCTTGCGCCGCTCTGAGTGTATGACGATGTGCCATTTTCTTTGTGTGTGTGTTTGTGCGCGTGTGGGTGTGCATGTGTGCACGCACGTGTGCGTGAATGTGTGTGCATGCATGTCATGTACGGGCGTGCATTGCATTATCTCCCCCATTTCCCCTTCGATCAGGGTCAAATGGGACTGTGGGACGAGGTTCCCATAGCAGCCCCGTCCATATCCGTCGCAGAGCCCGTTGCCGCCGGCGACGACGACATGGCCGACGAGGATCTGGTCGCTATGGTGATGGACACGGACGTCGCTATGGATACGCTTGGCGCTCCCCCGGTCCTCATGGACGACAGTAGCAACATGTCTGTGCCGTCGACCACCACAGGACCCACATCGAAGAAGTCCAGAGCGCGCGCCAGTTTCCTTGACGATAGCGCTAGCGAGTCGGGAGGTGGTTCCGATGGTGAGACGGATTGCTGCTTGTATGATACGTATGTTTAGCCCGGCAGTGCTACTGTACAAGCAGAAATTTTCGGTGGTGTAATATTTTCGGTATTCTCCAAGATCGGCGGTTCGGTGGAGGGAAATTTTCGGTGTACTACGGTTGCGCTCGGTGAAATCCGGCCCGAAGTGCATAACTGGCGCCCAGTACTGATGCGGCCCTTGACACCCTCAAAGTTGTACAAGTGCTAGTGTGCGCGTGTGCCGCATGAACTGTGCATGTGCTGTACTCCTACGCATGCGCTTACACCAAAGTGTAAAAACCGCGCCAAACAAAGACAATTGTAACATTCATCTCAGTTCAGCAGAAGTAAAGAAGACGGAGATCGTTTCGAAGCAGTTTATTTCATACACAGAGCAGCAGGGCTTCAATATTTTGTGTGGCCACCGTCTGCTTCGATTAGGGCTTCAACACGACGTGGCATTGACTCCACGTAAGGGGAAACCGTGCCAGGAGCCAACGAGTCCCACTCCAGGTGCAGTGCCTGCACCAGCTGGTCAGCATTCTCGCAGCGACGTGGAATTAAACACGACGTGACATTGACTCCACGTATGGGGAAACCGTGCCAGGAGCCAACGAGTCCCACTCCAGGTGCAGTGCCTGCACCAGCTGGTCAGCATTCTCGCAGCGATGTGGAATTATTCTCTTCTTGAGAAGAGCCCACACATTCTCGATTGGATTCATGTCCGGCGAGCAGGGAGGTTGAAACAGGATGTTGGGTACTCCGCGTTTCACCTCGTTTTGGAAATGGGATTGCGGACCATGTTTGTGTGACCTTTGTTTGCTGTTCTGTCTGCACTGCGGACTCTGTACGAGATTTTGGGAATGGCCATGTCCTTCTTCTCTATCTCTTCTTGACCTTGAGCTGTACTTCGTGAAGTGAATGAAAGAAATTTTGAACTGTTTTTAGCATGCAACACGTGCACTCCAAACTTTTACACGAGGTGCGTACAGTTGAGTTCATACCCACAAATCGCCAGTGATGTAATGGGAGCTGGCTTCGCGGCGCCGGCTTTGCACTTCGGGCCGGATTTCACCGAGCGCAACTGTAGTACCACATGTATGCAGTACCGGTTGTACCAAGATTTTCGGTGCGTTTTATTTTCGGTAAAAATTGTCGACACCGAAGTTACCGAAAATAAAACACCTCCGAAAATTTCTGCTTTTACAGTATGTTACAGCCAGGCCAAGCCTGCTCATTGCATGCCAACACCAATGCACATGTCAGCGGTGCCGGAAGCTATTCTACATTGGCACAGGTATGAAAAAGCGGGGGGGGGGGGGGAAGACCCTGTAAGACCAGATATTTTAACGTCAATTAAAGTTAACGATCTCCGGAGTTTTGTGGGTTAGCCGGAGGTGAAATTCTAACGAATTCCGTCTCAAAACCGACGAATGACCGTCATGTACATATCTGTTTTCTTTTCTACAAAACGACTTCAAATGTTAACGATTTTTTGCCGTTTTGTGGATCTCATGCTCCTGTTTGTGCCTGTGTGTGTCACCGATCGTGCACAGACGAGGACGAGGCGGCACTGGATGCCGAGGCAGCAGCGGCCACTGGCGACATGTTTGACGACGGCAACAGCCTGGGCGAATGGCCGGAGGAGAACGTGGATGAGGCGCAACCGTTCGTGCCTCCAATGGTAGGTTGAACTTTGTTTATACTGTTTTGTTTGTTTGGTTGTTTGTTTGTTTGTGTTGATTTAACTTGACTAAGAAAGCTGTGGACATCACGCAACTGCGTTATGAAGAAAAGCGGGTTTGTCAACTGACAACCGCTCTGTTCAGTTGCTATGCGCAATCTGCGCATGCACTGGATAAACTTTTTGATTTTTATGTTGACACACTTATTGACGTTTCGGGCCAGTCACCCATCGTCCGAACGCACGTGCAGATTGTGAATAGCAACTGGGTAGAAGCGGAACCCCAGTGCACGTGTGACCCGGCCCTAAGAACCCTGACAATTGCCACCTATTGAAAGTCCCTGGCTGTCCTCAGCCATGTTTCGTTCGTAGCTGTTGGTCCCTCTCTCTCTTTCTATCTCTGTCTCCCTCTCTCTCTCTCTCTCTCGCTCTCTCTCTCTCTCTCTCTCTCTCTCTCTCTCTCTCTCTCTCTCTCTCTCTCTCTCTCTCTCTCTCTCTCTCTCTCTCTCTCTCTCTCTCTCTCTCTCTCTCTCTCTCTCTCTCTCTCTCTCTCTCTCTCTCTCTCTCTCTCTCTCTCTCTCTCTCTGCATTTGTGTCATTGTGCAAGTACTCAAGTAATATGACCAAGAGTCCAGAAACAAAGAGTATGCAACTGTGTAATCTTTTCTATGTGCCAGATGCGCGGTGAGCTGCCTTCATTACATCATTCAGCTGCAGCCGCACTGCGGAAAATCAAACACCGCACTTTCCCTCTGGTGTGAAATGAACTTCCGTGCGGAAGTGGAGTTCACGCGCCAAAATTTAGAGATCGCGTAGGTACTGGAACGAATCGAGAAGAAACGGATGGGCTCATACGAGAAATTGTGGGTTTGAGTTCATGCTCTCAGAGCGTGGTGAAGGCAAATTACATAATGAAAGCACATAACCGCAGTTGCATACTCTTGTTTATGCGCTCTTGTTATAGCTTTAGGCCTTATCCACACTACAGGTGTGAAAGGTAGTAGCGTCCTCTTTCAAGTGGCGTGCAAGTGCACTTGCATCCACACTCGCAAGAACAGCCGACGTTACTTTTGAGGAGCGCCCGCGGGAATTTCCCCTCATATTCAAAATTTTATCTCAGAGAGTTCCACATTGATCTGAAAGAGAAATCATCGACTCAGAAATTTGTTCGTGGAGGCTTTATCTTGTTGTTCCTACCTATGTCTCCCTGTTTGTTGCGATCCTGGTTTGTATGCGGCTGGACGACCTGGAGTGCTACATGCGCTGGTAACTGCTGCTGTGGCAGCTGCACTGCCACTGGCCCCTGCAAGCATTGCTTCATCCAGTGCATTATGGTCGGTGTCATCGCCAAAAGACTGGCCCCCATGGTGCATGTTGACGGTGTGTGGTGATGGTGATGGTGCAGGTATCACAGGGGTTGGTGGCGCACTACCACTGGATGGGTTTTCAAGTGGACTTGAAGAGCTGGCCACTCCAAAACGAAGAGGAGCTGTTAGCTGTAGAGTCTCCACGGCAGTTTCAGTGGGCAGGGCAGCGGAGTTAAGACTCGTGATGGGGCCATATCCTGGCACCAATTTGAATAGTGAGTGCCAGGTCTTGAAATTACCCCAAGCTCTGCAAGCAGCTTCCAGATCTATGTCGGCATCGCCGGAATCTTCGCCTTGGAGCACCAGAGCCGGTAGTGGTGTGACGGCGATATTTCTTGTACTGCTCCCTGGCCTTGGTACGAAGGTTGTCCAGCTTGTTGTGAACAATCGGCACTGTGATCTCATTCTGAAATTTATCGACATACAGCTAAATTCAACTTCATGGCAATCTCCTTCTCCTTCACCGACCGCTTTTTCATCGTCCCATTGCTCGCTTTCTGTTCTGCAGCCCACAGCTCAATGAGCTTTCCTTCCAGCTCTTCGCAGAACACAACCCTCGGCATTTTCTCAAGATACTTCAACAAATACTGCAACAACTAGCTACTTCTGAAACCTGGAAAAGCTACTTGAAAGTAAAAAGTGGCCTTGTATCGGGGTTCGGAAGTTCCTGATTACGTTCAAGCGACTTTTTCACTTTCGCGCCGTTTCCCCATGACAACTTACAAGGAAAAGTGACTTGTACGCGGTTTTTGTTGTAGTGTGGTGTGTAGTTTGGATAGGCCCTTAGGAGCCAAATCCACCAACTTTCTTTCTTTTTCTGATATTGAACGGTGGGGCGTCAGCGTAACAACAGCCAACAGCCACCGTGCTCCAAAGATTTTGTGTCCGAAATCTCTTGATGGCGATTCCGAAGAGCATCAGAGTGCCCTCTGCCACTGACGGCAAACACCCTTTTGCTGATGATCTGCCTGAAGAGGTGTTTTATGTAAAGTCTTTGTTCAGTGCTGATCATACCGATATCCTCTCGCACCACCAAACGTTCACCATTGTGGCCTCTGCCATAATTTTTATGGCAATGTATTTCTCCATTCCGTTCCTACTGCCTTTCGCTCCGTTTTGCGCCCCGGGATGCGTTGCCGTGGAAACGTGTCGAACATGGCCTTCATACATATTCCGTTTCAGGATTGTTTTCCGACTTTCCTGTATGGCGTTTTCTCCCTGTCACTGTCGCCTGCCGTCCCGCCCATTTTCGCTCCAGTATTCGTTGCCATGGTAACGAGTCGAAATAGCGTTGCTACATGTATGTATCACGTTTGAGAATTGTTGTTTCCCTTGCTTTTATGACGTTGTTGTCCCCATCACTCTCCTCCTGCCGGATCAACGGTACTTTATGGTACATGTATTTATCACTTTCCCTCCATTTTTTGAGACATGAGAATTGTTGCCATGGCAATACACCTACTGTGCATTGTAAAAGAAGGATGCACTGGCGAGATTCGAAGCCAGCACCCCTGTCTTTCCTGGACAGTGCCCGATTAGTAGTAGTGATGCAATTAGATATACACACCTGTGGCCCCTTCTTGCTATTTTTTTCATTTGAGACTTGTCTTTTCTTCTCCCTACAAGATTAGAGAGGTTCCGCACTACGTACAGTTGAGGAGCTTTACGTAAATGGGCGGGAAAAACCCGTGAATTCGCGACTTTGCACTCCACTTACGGAAAGTTTTCGGGGCTCTGATAACGGAAGTCCGCATTAGTGGGTTGGGGTACAAGTTTATGGCTCTCTCGCCAGGTCAACCCGGCCGTACACTGCCGCGTTGCCCAGGGCAACTACATGATTCGGAAAAAAACCCCATGGCGGAACAGAGATCTGCATGCAATGTACAGTGAAACCCGGTAGGAAGAACACTGATGAGAAACTTTCGCTTTGGAAGAATTAGAATGGACCGATTGCCATTTGTACAGATCCACGAAATCCCGTAGAATCCCGTAGACCCGGTAGGGTGTTCATTGTGTGCTATGCATGCGCATTTGACCTTTTTAGCGTCATAATTCAATGACCAGCAATCGCTTTTCCAGCTTCTTCACTTTGGTTAGAACTAATGACTAGCTAGATCTTTGTCAGAAAAGGATTTCGTATGAAATTCCTTCAGGCCCCATTTCTTGGTGGGAATAGCAGAAAACACAATAGGGTCCTGCACATTCAACACCCTTCCGGGTCTACGGGATTCTACGGGATTTCGTGGATCTGTACAAATGGCAATCGGTCTATTCCAAAAGCTCTCTTGGATACACCACCGTGTATTCACTGGGTATAAGATATGGATAAGAAGAACTCTCGTTATTGCGAACAAATACCACCGGTCCCTTAGTGTTCGTCCTAAAGAAGTTTGACTGTTCTTTTTAAAAGACTTTCCGTAGATCGACTACGTTTTGTGCTAACGGAATTACTGTATGGCAGGAAATTTTCGGACGGAATTTATTTTCGTACGATTTCGTACACGGCCTCTTTTGTACTAAAATTAATTCCGTACTAAAATTTGTTTTTTCTTCAGACTTTTCCCGTTTGTGTCTTTCCCTCAATCCAGTGAATAAAATTTGTTCATGTGAAATTATGTACACTATACATGCGTACTGCTTGCGAACATGAGCATTTAGCATGCAGCACTGTACGAAAATAGAATCCGTTGAACAGTGCATTGCTGATCCCAGCGTACTCACATGCATTTTTTTAATTTTTACTATGCAGGTGGAATCCTGATAATTCGAATATGGCTTAATTCGAACATACCGCTTGATTAGAAGTTTTTCCAGGACCGATTTCTATCAATACGATTCCCACATAAATTTTTCTGATAATAATAATAATAATAATAATAAACACAGCTCGCATCTTTCCTGAACCTGTTAGACAGGAGCAGAGTCGACGCATCTGTCAACAGTGTCAAGCCAAGTTAGTCTATCTCCTGCAGCTTGGAGAGCGCTCTCAATAATGATTAATAATAATTCAAACCTAAAACTGGACATGTCCGGTTAATTAGAAGTCCCACGGATTCCACTTACATAGAAAATGTGTGGGGTTCGTGCTGATAATTCGAAGTTAGCAAAGTCAAAGTGCAATTCGAAGTTCACTGTACACTGTACTGGTCAGTTCAGTTTGCATGAGCAGGCTGTGCCGGTCAGTTCAGTATCCGTGAAACCTGTGTCTAAGGTCGGACCGTCCATAGCGCCACTCTGCTTGGCCATGAGAGCATTTTGACATACATATTGTGTTGTGGGTTCATGTTTGGATAATTAGAATGTCCGGATAATTAGAAGATTTTTTCCTGGCATTTTGAGGTTCGAATTATCAGGATTCCACCTGTATTCACATACCCAGCTCGAAAACAACTGGGAAAGACAATGATACTGAGACTAGACTCATGCAATCCGTAGACAATGATACTGAGACTAGACTCATGCAATCCGTATTTGGCAATGCGCAATTGGCTTATTTTGGATTGGTTGTGCTTGCACAGGGTGCCCAAGAGAGGCTGCTAGCTCAGACTATGAATGCCTCAGCACAGATCAGGGAACAGCGTAAGGCCATGAAGTCCAACGTGGCCAAGCAACAGCCACCGTTCCAAGTCTGTTCCACGCCCAGCAGGCAGCACACGTATTTCATGGTTAGTGTTCTCCCGCGCGCGCGCGCGCGTGTGTGTGTGCGTGTGTGTGATTTGCATATTTGCGGGCTTCTCTTGCGACGGGCGTGTGTATGGTGCATGGTGTGTGTGTGTGTGTGTGTGTGTGTGTGTGTGTGTGTGTGTGTGTGTGTGTGTGTGTGTGTGTGTGTGTGTGTGTGTGTGTGTGTAATTGTGTATTGATGTTCTTTTGAAAAATGCCGTAGCAACGCAGGTATTTTGTGAGGGACTTGGTTTCGTAGTTAGTAGCTATGTGTCTACCCCCCCCCCCCCCCCCCCTGCCTGTAGTGTTCTTTTCTGTGGTGTATACGGCAGTGACAAAAAAAAGAAGCTTTGAAAAGGTTTGATTTTGTCTTTGTTCGATCACAAGCTTTTGCGTGCGTGTGCGTGTCCACGTACGTGGTGTGTGTGTGTGTGTGTGTGTGTGTGTGTGTGTGTGTGTGTGTGTGTGTGTGTGTGTGCATTGCAGGCGTACAACGACGTCGGCGTGATCCGCTGCAAGAGGGAGGACAGCGCCATGAGCATGCTGGACGTGGAGTTCCACGACACCAGCACCTACCACGCCATGCACATCAGCAACACGTCGGACTACGATCTCGCCGCTCTGTCCGAGGAAGCGGTTGCCTTCGCCTGCTCGGCCAGTGGCGAGGGAAAGAAGTAAGATTGATGGGCAGGTGTGTAGCCCACATGGAGCAGGGGGGGGGGGGGGGGGGGGGGAGGAGAGCACGTGCACACCCCCCCCCCCCCCTCTAAAAAAATTCGACCAAGGTTCAGCATGCACATAATGACCATAAATGACATGCACCAGCCATCCTACACATATGCGGCCGTGCACCCCCCCCCCCCCCCCCCCCCCCCCCCCCCCCCCCCCCCCCCCCCCCCCCCCCCCCCCCCCCTCCCCTTAACCCTTTCACTGCCAGCTGACTGCTCAAGTGACAAGGCAGGCAGTGCCAGGCTGTCAGCTGAGCTGTGCACTCCCCAGTGCCAGGCGCTTTTTACCTCCAGTTCAAAAAATCGAAAGGCCAACTTTTCCTGGATTTTTTGGTACTTTCTGTACGGAATATCGCTTTCTAAAGTATACATCGTAGGTAGCCAACTGATAAAGGAAGCCATTGCCCTCGAAAAAAATCGCTAAATCCGAAGTACAAGCGCGCTGAGCGTTCTAGCGCCAGCCGCTGTGCAACAAGTCATGTCATGTCATGCGAAAGTGCGCCGCGTGCCGCATGCACTACATACACTGCATGTACACCATGTGTACGGCCCGGCCAGTTGCGAAGTAAAGTAGTTAGTTGTTGTTTTGGAGAGAGAAGGAAATCCTGTTTTTCGCTCGGTGGGATTGAAAGATCTGCCAGTGGACCGGAGAGCTACAACACTTGAAGCAGAAGAAAGTACTTGCTGAAACTTCCCTGTCTTCGTGGCAACAGGACTTCAGTTTGCGAGAGACTTTCGTCCTGTCGCTGCGGACGCAATTCTTGTTGCTTGCAGAAAACTTGGGGAACGGTCGCGACTCGTTTCGTGAGGCGGATCGTGTCGCTGAACAGCCGTGGATTGTTCTGCCGACATGGTGGTCCTTTGTTCTCCTAATTATCAGCAGTCCAAGCACATCTCTTCAACGTCGGAGAATGAAGCGCTTCCCTGTTCCGTTGACAAGCGCTTCGCTCGCGGGTGTAATGCACTTCCGCATCAGCTTGCAGTAGATCGCCAGGTATTGAGGTAGGTGTTGTTGCGGAAAGAATAATATTATTATACTTGTAGCTGACATACCTGTAGTGTCCCTTGACCGTGCTGGTCGCCATTGCAACGTTTTAGGCCTCAGGAAAATTGAGTTCTGGACGCGGCGAGCGCCGCCAGCGCTGTTTCCGTCAATTTTGTACATAGCTGCATCCAAAATGCGTTCGTGAGGAATCCGTCATTTGGTTCCCTACCCGTGACTCCAACCGCCTGTCGCAATGGATAGCCGCCTGGAGTCTTGGGTAATAGCTAGGCATCAAGTCTGAACCAAATTCCATGCTCTATGCAAAGAAAGGTGACGGGAAAGAGAAAAATACTCGCACCGACTCAGCTCGGTGGAAGTGCGTGGGAACCGATTTTTTCAGCGCCGCTCGGCTAAAAATTGGATACACATTTTCAACGACGCTGGTTCGATTTTTTTCAAATGGCAACCCCTACTCCTGGCAGCGTATTTCAATGGATATGGACCCCTTCCAGGGCCCAGTAGCCCTCTATGGCAGCTAAACAGCTCCAATACCCCAAAATAGTGGCCCAAACTGGGCGAAGTCGGCCTGTCGACTGCAGTCGACAGCGGCACTGGGAACTGCATTCTTGCTGGTCGACTGCAGTCGACAGCGGCACTCAGAGTGCATGAATGGGCTGTCGACTGGAGTCGACAGCGGCAGTGAAAGGGTTAAAGGGGGACCAGCTACGCTGCTGTCGGGATGCGTATTTGTTCAAGTCAGGCTTTTGGGGGCATGCAGGTATTAGTGGACAGTTACAACTGGTGACTTTCTGGCCTGGACTTGGTTGTTGGCGAATGCTTTCCGGTAGGCTTTTCTAGGCTTTCGAATACGATTCAGTTGCAATGCGTGTGTGTTCCTTTGTGTTCCTGTGTGCGTGTGTGCGTGTACGTGTGTGATTTCAGTAAGCTGGAGTGCCGTCACTTCAGTGCCTGGGATGGCGCCAAGGAATGGTCCACCGTCATGAACAAGAAGGAGAGTATCCAGGTATGTGTGTCAACCATTGCTGCTAACATGTGTTTTATTGAACGCACAAAGCAACGATGATGTGAATACAAGGAGAGCAAAGAATTCAAAAGATGAACAGCAAATTGATTTAGCAATGAATAAAACTAATTGTGCACTCCTAACCATGTATAAAAAAATTAAAAAGACAGAATTCCAGAACATTTTCTCATGAACATTCTGGAATTGTTTCATTTTAATCGTTTTATACATGGTTAGGAGTGCACAGTTAGTTGTATTCATTGCTATTTTACGACTGTTGTCTCCTCGTCGGTTATTTAGCAAAATTGATTGACAGAGATTATGAGTTGCAACAGTAATGTTTGTACTTGTGAAAGAGAAAGAAAAGAAGAAGAAAAACTCCAAACTGAAATTGCTGCTGCTACCGCTGCTGCTGCCTAGCACGCCATGTGCAGTGTTGCTCAATAACATCCGATGGCAGGAGTCAAAGACAAGCAGGCGCCACGTCGTCCTACAGTCCATTTTCAACTACAGTCAGACCTCGCTTAACCGCACACAACCGTTTTCCACAAAAATATCCAGATAGGCGAGGGAACCGGACAATCGAACACACATACTGTATGTATGCATGGCATATGCTGTAAATCGGTAAGTATCCGGATGAAAGAGGACGGGATAAGCGAGGTCTGACTGTACTGTACTTCAGTCAGCCCTTGCACCTCACTCTGTCGACTGTGTCTTTGCACCACTGGCGTAAGTTTCACATACTGCAAAGCGACAAACTTTCGCGGCGGCTAAATTTAGCGTTTTGCAAAACTGGACCAGTTTAGCGGCGATTAATTTTAGCGATTTTACCTTCCACCGAAAACCTTCAAGAATTTTATTTTACGAAGCCTCGGAGTGCGCACCCCCAATGAAGATTGGGGGTGCGCGTTATACAAAGGTGCGCACTATACTCCGAAAAATACGGTACATGAATAATGAGAGAAGAAATCAAAGAAGGGAACAAGAAGAAGGAATCAAGGTTTCAAAGAGAACCAAAAGGTAAGTATTACTACTGGTCTATGTACATGACTGAACACTGTTATAGCTAGTAAGTTGCAGAGATATTACTGCTCATTACTAGAACTACCGCTAGAAATACAGTCCAGAATTCCAGCCTTCCGGTCAGCCCAGCTTTACGCACGCTGCTGCATCCGCTAATTCGGACATGGCAGTGATGAGCCACCTGGCATGCCGTGGCTTGGCTGCGGACGCTTTCAGATCGACCTTGACTTTGTCATGGGACACACCGTCCTTCAGCACTGCCTCGACCTCTGCTGCATACCAGTCGGCAAAGAGTGCCTTCATCTTGCCCTTGAACTGGTCATTGAAGGTGAGGTCCAGTGGCTGAAGCTCACCAGTACAGCCAGCCGGAATAAACACCTGGTGGATGTTGTGCTCCTTCAGCTTGTCCAGGACTGAAGTGCAGCCGTGCGAGGCAAATACATCAAAAATCGCCAAGGCAGGTTGCGAGGCTGGTAGCTTCAGCTTCTGTCGCTGCTGTGCAGCATATGGCACCACGACGTTATCCACAAACTGCAGCATGGTTTCCTCTGTGCTCCAGTGAGAGGGGGATTGGGTGACATTCCAGTCATCCGGGAAGTTCACCTTTGGGATGACACGCCGGAGTTTTCCCAGCGTAGATGACCTGCGGAGGAAGCAACGCGCCAGCAGCAGATACGCAGACGAGGATGGTGATCTCCCTCTTGTCGTCCTTGCCGACAACGCTGACCTGCTTACTGCCCTGCTCAGCCAATGTCGAGGAGTTGACAGGAACCAGCTTGGTCCCTGTCTGGTCCCAGTTGATGATCAGTTCTGCTGGAATGGTGTACTCCTGTACAACAGTCTTGATCCGCTCATGGAAATTCGATTTGCTGGTCGAAGTCTTCAGGGAGCTTCCTAGCAGCTTTTGTGGCCTTCCGTTTTACAAAGTGGTGACGCCTTTGGAACGAGTCAGCCCAATCCTTGGTGATGTTGACATGTCCACCATTCTCTCTCAGAAGACTTGGCTTCTTGTGGGCAACGATTCCGCGCGCAGCTGCTACAACACTACTCGTGCTGACACAACCACCAGCGCTACGAAGTGCGCGGATATAGTCCGCCACTTCCGCGTCCAGGTTGCCTTATAAAATCGGACGTCCTTCATTTCTGTGACGAATAGCAGTCACCTGGTTCGGGTCCTTGACATCGTTTAGTGTCGCCAAGTACTACACTTTACGTGAAGTTGAGCAACTTTACGTAGTGGGCGGGGAAAACCCGTGAATTCGCGAGTTTGCACTCCACTTACGGAAAGTTGTCTACGTAAAGTACGTAGATAGGGCTCTGATAACGTAGCTGGTCCGTAAGTGGATTGGCGTACACATGTATGACTCTCTCCCCAGGTCGATCTGGTCGTACACTGCCGCGTTCGGAGTTGTCAAGGGCAGCTACGTGATTTGAAAACTCCGTATGGCGGAACACAGATGCGCATGCAGTTTACGTAAAACTTTCCGTATATCGACTACGTTTTTTACTAACGTAATTACAGATCGAGTATTTTCGCTCCTGCTCTTGTAGTTGTTGAGCACTCTCATGTGGGGTAGTGCCTTTGCTGTTTGCATTACGCAGAGCTCACTGACTTGTCAGTTTGAGCACTCTGGCAAGGTACGTTCGGGCCTGGTTTTAAATCTGGCTTTGGAAATTTTATTTTCATTGCTATCAGGTTCGGCCTCACTTTCTCTGTGCTGCGCTGAGGAGTTCACAAAGAACGAAACAGCATGCTGTCCGCAGATTGAGTAACGTAATTACGCTATGCGGAACCTCTCTATTCTCAGCAGGTTACGTACCGGTACTTATATTTGCATTCGCTGCGTTGTGAATCAGTAGCCACTATTGTAATCTTCTGCTTTGCCTCTTCGATAGAACCTCGCGGTTGGCTCAAGCTTTGTTGCCGTAGCAACTAGCCGGCAGCTGCTGCGCGTGTGGACGCTGAGTGGAGTGCAGTCGTTCATGGCAACGCTGCCGGGGACGGTCGTAACCATGGCAGCGCATCGTGACCTGCTGGCAGTCGCGTACCATCATGGTATTGGTGAGTTTGTCAAAGTTAGCGTTCTCTTTCTCTTTGTACAACAGCCAGACTATAAGTTGCCTCTGGGCAGATTTCCTCAAGCTGCTATTCAGGCTGTATTTACATGAGAGTTTTCAACCCGGGTGGGGGTTGAGTTCGACCCGGGTCAAATTGCAACCCGCCATGAACACAGATCGAATGGGTCGTCTACATAATGCAGTGTGCTTGACCCGGGTTGATCCCCCCCCCCCCCCTCAGGGGAGGGTTGAAATCGAGAAATCGTGCTACCGTACTTCTGTGCGTATTTCGCGCCAGGCTGGCATAGCATTACTGCACAGGCAAATTTCGCACGAAAGTAATCACGAGACCACACGAGACGTTATAAGTGGACTTTTGTCGGCAGATCAGTAATTGCCCCGGGTTAACTCTCTTCATGTAAACACCGACCTCTTTTTTCCGCCGTCCAGACTTTCAAGCCAGGTTTAAATTTCTCA